TCTATGATTCTGTGATTGGTAGCATATGTAAAAATCAAACAGCTAGGTGATAAATGCTCATCCCAGGGTTATTAGCAATTTTATTCAAAGGTTGTTACAGCAGCTGGGTGATGTCTAAATCTCATTAAGCAAGCAACTAAGGGATCTGTACATCTTTTAATTTCTAATTTCTCAGGGTTTACTCTTTCAACATCATAAGTTGAAAATTTGAGTTCAGTAGATGGATTTGTTCTGGCTGAGCTTTATTCTGTGATGAAGGGTGTTTGGGGAGCCCATCAGAGTATCACCAGCGATAAGGTTTGATGTGAAAGTGTGGGACAGTGTGATGGTACAGAGAAGCCCCTCTCATTCTGCTCTGGGCACTCTTCTTGGTCTGCTGGCATCTGCACCCAGGCAGTGCAGGTTCCCAGATGCCTGTTACAAACATCTCTTTCTCATTGCTCAGCTCTTTCACCCCTGAGTTTCCCTCCTCTGCAGAGTTTCAGGTGGAGCACGGCAGCAGCAGCAACCTGCTGCTGTGTTTTTCCTCACTCTGCTCTCCATATTTCCTCTAACATGACAGATCCTAAAAGATCTGTTAGGCCTCTGACATTTGTATGTTATCTTGATTAAAATCTCAAGCCTGGAATCAGTTTTTTAACATCTCCTAGATTTTATTCCTGTATTTGCTACTGAAAAATTTCCCTTTTGTCACTCTTCTGTTTAAGACACTTACCAATGGTCTAATTTTGATTTCTTACAATTTATTGTTTTTTAAATTCAGCATCCGACCTTCCCTCCGTACGCCATGAGGCGGTACAGGCGTGGCTGGAGACGGTCCCTGGAGGTAGTTTGGTGATGTTCTATGTATTCCAATGCACAATAACCCTGCCCGTTTCTTTTCCATGCCTTCAGCAGCTGAGCTGGTACTTTAACCCTGGAACTTATGGCCCTGTCGCTACTGCATGACTGGACACAGAGGGATGGAGGGATGGAAGGGGGAGTGTGCATGCACGCCTTGCTCAGACAGTCCATTCTTGCATGAACTCGACATTTATAACCCTTCTGAAGGCAGGCCAGAGAGGTGATCTTGGGTGTAATGATGGAGAAGGAGGAATCTAGTTGAATTCTTCGATTTGCTTTGTAAACTGAAGGCTGGACCAGTTATTCTTCCCCCAGCTCCTTGAGTAAAAGAACATGGGGCTTTCTTGCAGTTGAAGGATTAAGTGACAGAGAGTGCTTAGGGCAATTGCAGTTCTCTGTGGCAACTGCAAACTATTATTATATGGTGAAGAAAACAAGAAAGAAGAAGAAGAAGGTTGAAGCTGGGATCTTTAGGAACAGTGATGGCTGTTGTGTCTCCTTTGACTTGGGGTTCATGTGACATGGGGAAGCCTCAGGAGAGTTGAAGGATGGTAGAGCTCAGCTGCCTTTTTATTTTTTTTTTAATGTTATAAAACTGATGAGCCTGAAGATCCTGGGGTTAGAGTAAGGGAGTAAATCTGTGTAAAGCGGTGAAGGTACCTAAATCAGTGGAACAGCAGTGGGTTGTGGCTAGGTAGCTGATCTACAGCTAAGTTGCTTTGGCACATCAGAAGAGCTAGCTTGCCTATGAAACTTTGCTTCTGCTGCTGCTTTGGCAAGGCAGCAGTGTCTACAAGATGTCTGCACACGATGCAGTCTGCTCCCGGCTGCCAGCTGATCCCAACCAAGTGCTGATCCCAGTTTCTGGCTGCCATAGTGTGTAGCTTCTGAGTTATTGTGTGACAGCTTTTGGCCTCTTGCTCCTTACCCTAACTGCATATACTTGTATGCACAGTATATGTATCATATAACCAGCCACCTGCAAGCTCTCCCATGTCCCTCAAAATGGGATCCACCCTTGCACCAAGTTGTCACTTACCTATGCATCTTCCCTTGAGTTTTGTGTACCAACCTATTTAAGAATTGATTTTTCCCCTCTTTCTCCAGCATTCCCTATGTGTGTCATGTCAGTTTGTGCTTTCCAGATCTGAAGACACACATAGACATCATAGTGGTGTCAGATATTCCTAACATCAGTTACATTTTTGCAAGTTTTGATTAAGCTTTCTCACATTTACTGCTACCATAAAACCATCCCATGGCATTATTATTTCCAAAATAACATACAAGCTACTGCATACCTCAGCAGCAATCAGACTGGGACTCGGTTTGGTTTTGTTCAGTAGATTTGTAAATGCCCCCGTGGGCAGTTCAGCCTTTGACAAATGATTCAGTCTCCTACCTCAACATCTGTAAGATAACTGGATTTTATAAACCTCTGACGTAAAGGAATAGGCAAGTGCTTTGCCACACGTAAGTGTAACTGCCTTTGCACAGTAGCTGGGAGAAAATAAACTAGCCCAAGTGTTATGTTTGTCTGTCTTAATACTACAGGGAGGAAAAGCATGGAAAAAGAGAAATTCTCAGGTTGAAGGAAGAAGACAAACCACCCACTGAAGTCTCTGTTTCGAAATAAGCAAAAACCTGCCTTAGAGAAAGAGGTTTTAGGGAGGGCTGGATTGTTTTCAGGGTTGTCCTAATTAGCAAAGCAAGTGTACAAATGGTTCCAAAAGCCATGTCATCACTAGTAGACGAAAAACCATCGAGTCCTACTCTGTGACTCAGGAGAAAGCTAGCACAGCGTGATTCACTCCCATATGGCTAAACTTCTCTTGGCATCCAGAGTCAGGGGGCTGCTTCCAGATTGTCTACTGGAAACAGCCCTGCCATGGGAGCTACCTGCTAGGAGTCATGCCAGGAACCCTCCTGAAGACAACAGTATGACACTGTGTGAGTTCAGGTCTAGAGATTTGCTGATATACCAGTTATACTGGTATAAGTACAACCAAGAAGGTTATCAATTTATCATTTATCATCGTTATAGGACCATATCCTATGTGTATAATTAGCAAACGTGGTGCATAATTATCCATGCTGGCTGTGTGCTCATTTGCAGTAGGATATACAACCACAGGGTCAAGTGTCTGCACGTTGTTGAAGTCACAGTAACTCGCTGCACGAATCTAAAAATGGAGTTGGCTGACTCTACTGTGCGAGAAAAAAACTGGAAGTGCTTGCTTCTGTTTTATATTTAAATTATGTTTTATGAAAATGCTTAACAAAAAAAGAAAGTGAATTATCCCTAGCACCAGAGATGGGGCAAGGTGTCATGAGGTTTAGGTTTTTAAAAGAAGTATCATTTAATAATGAAATTTAGACCCCGCAGTTTGGTCTTGTCTCTCCTCCTGTAATTAAATCCTGTCACAATAGTAATGTCAAATGCCCTGTTCAGAGTTATAAATTCAAGGATCTTTTAATCGTTTTGACTCAGCAAATCAAATTATGATCTGTAACAGAAAAGGCATTTTTGAATAGATCTTTTTATTACTTAAAAATATCTCAATTAATTTGTGTCTTAGTTACTTACACAGCGTATCGAGTCTCCTAGACCCTTTAACCAAAGACTACTGTAGCTGCACAGAGTTAAACAGTTTCCAAATGTAATAATGACCAATCTCAGAGATCTCTGTTTCTGATTTACAGCCTCAAAAGCCTGTTTCAATTTCAAGATGAACAGTTGTGGTACATTGTGAGATTTCAGTTTTCACCCAAGACACACATGCTATAAAGTGGTAGTAACTGTTCTGGTGTGGTAAAGAAAAAAATAATCTCCCTGGAAGAACAGTAAACTTTACTCTGGTTTGATGTCCTCCCAGTGCCCTTCTTGTTTAATTTTCCACAATGCCTATTGCTCAGAAAAGCCCGGGTTGCCTTCACTGTAAACTCCTTGGAGACTCCCCAAGGGCAGGCATTCCTTGATTCATTGGAGTCTGGAAGTATCATTTCACCACAGATGTCTTTCCAGGTGACACCTTTCAGGATTTCTTATTTTGGCAGTAATTAATAAATATCTCCACTATAAACTGTTGGTACAGTTCAATGTAGAACCTTTTCACTGTATAGTATTTTTTTTTTCTTCTTTTTTTCCTCTTTTCCCCCCTCAATATTTGAATGTATTCTAGCTCTGTGTGAGGAGAATGATGTGGAGGACGAGCTGGGCACAGAGCCTGCAGACACAGAAGGGCAGGCAGGAGAAGAGGGAGACACGGGTGCAGAGCTGGATGACGGTAGGGTACCACCATGCATCATTTAAACCTGTTACATGAACAGAATTGTATTGACAGAAAATGTTTTGTATGAGAATACTTAAACCTGATCTTATTTTTAGTGATACTTAAGCTTGATCTTATTTTTAGTGATGTAAGAGTTTGTTTCACGTAGTCAAGAGGAAGACAGGAGTGACGGACCAAAAGAAATAGAGGAACCTCAATGCCATGGGTTGTAGAATAAATTTCTCATGTCCTCTCACCACCTACTAACTAGAGGGTTTGGTCTTGTGTCTGTATTCAGTACTAATCTTGCTGAATAACAGAAACAGAAGTAAATTTGTGAGAAGTCCACAATATTTTTGCCAAAATATTTCCCTTCCTAGTGTAAAGTGACATGCATATGCCAGAAAAAATTGAAAATTTTTCAGAAAACTGGAAATATGACTTAAATTACTTATTTAGTTATTTATACTAATAGTCTGTTAATTACTGATTAAATGACTCTAATTAGCACACACAAAAAAAGGAGTGAAACATTTAAGTGTTCAGGTTATGAAAGTGATTAGCATCATGTGAATGGTGAGAAAGGATTATGAAAGATTTTTAAATAATAAACAGATGTCCTGATGGACTTGTATCCAAGATCTCTTGGTTTTTTCCCCCACCCCATCCATGACCAGATGACATCCCATCTGATGCAGAAGCGGAGTTTCGCTTACATCAAGGTGGTGTAGAAGAGCCAGAACTAAAAGTCTCTGAAGATGAAGAAGATGAGGAAGGAGCAGAAGGTGCTTCTTGCAGCGTGACAGGAGGTAATAGCTTTTCCATCAGTGTTTGAATGACTGCAGTTGTATTTGAGATAGTCTGTACATTTATTAGATTTAAAAGAAGACAGCCTTTTGGTTGAGCAACCTGGTCTAGTGGAAGGTGTCCCTGCTGCTGGCAGGGGGGTTGGAACCGGATGAGCTTTAAGGTCCCTTCCAACCCAAACCATTCCGTGATTCTATGATTTGAACCATCTTGTGACTCTCAGTGGCAAGGTATGTGCTTGGATTAACATTTTGAGAAGAATGTTCTGAATCTAGTAATGACAGCTTCCTAAAGTGTGAAAACCCATCTAACTGCTTTTTCTTGCAGAAGTTTTTACATTAAAAAACTTGGACTATTTTGGACATTGAAAAATTTTTGTCTATGTTCCAGATGTCCAATCTAGAATTTGTAACAAGCTGAGAAATTAGTCACTAGTTGCTGCGTGTAACATAAAAAAGATAGAATATTAGCGAATATATAGAAATATTTGGAAATATTTTTGCTTTCCCTAGATCCATGCAAGCTGTCCATCCCTGTCCAGTCACCTAGTGACAGTGTTCTTCCTCCATCTCCAGCTGATAGTCCCAAAGCAAAACAAGCAGAGGTAAGAAAGGGAGTCTTTGAAGTTTTCTACTTACTACCTGTAGTTCAATAAAACAGTTTGTTGGATAAACTAATGAGGACTGACAGCAGTGGGCTCTCCTCCTTTCCTGTTTCTATCATTTTTATTGATCTTCTTGAAATTTGACTTCATTTAGACTTAAAAAATAATGTGCTGTCTTTCTTTCCTATCTTCAGAGTGTAGTGACTCTGTCACAGCCACAAGTTCCTGTCACAAAGCCCCAGAAAGAATTACACAGGACATTTTAACTTCATCGTGCAGTTAACAAGAGATGAATATAATGAATGAGGGGAGCCAGAAGTGAGCTGTTTCCTCTTTATCCTGTCTTTTCTGTACCAAAAGCAGATTCTATACAGTTGCAATTAAAAATTATATTTCTTTTACTTAGTAGTGACCAAAGCAGTGCTTAGTTATTCCAGAACAACAACATAGTTCAGGTTCAGGTAGTGATACATGTCAATGATGTACTGTCGTGTTATCAGCCCTGCAAGCATACTGTGGTGTTTCCAGCTACTGGAGTGTAAGAGTAGGAAGTACATGATCCTTAAAATGTTCAGTTCAAATTTTTTCCCTCCCTAGTGTTTGTTTTTAAAAGATTAGACTGTCCTAGAGTTTTGTAATAAAGCAGTTTACTTTTACAGTGGACACATGAGGGGAATAAGGGTGGTTTGCCAAGGGCAATTGCTGACAACATTCACTTTCTATTAAAATAAAGGGTTTTTTTTTTTTCACAACCATCTGATGATGTTGTTAGACATAGTTATTGTTTACATCAGGACAGTGCCAAAATGCAGTATTCAAGACCTGGGTGTTCCATACAAGCACACAGATGGAGAGGTTCATGCTGTAGTGGTCGTGTGTCAGTTGAACCAAAGGGCTGAATTGTAACACAACAAATGGTGCTACTGAATAATGTGGCAGTCTGGATGTAGGAGATGAAAACCAAGACTTCTCAGACCATTAAGGGGCAAGGGAATTGCAGCCTAATTTCCTCTTTAACCCCTTGCTTTAAGAAAACATTACAACAGATGCTAGCCAGTAGGAAGTGCTCTATTGAGGAGAGCTGGAGAGACTGGCACCAAATCTGTCTGAGATCAGGGACCACCACAATACACAGAGTTGGAGATTAGAAGGGAGATCAGGAAAAGATAGAAGCAAATTTCTGGAATTTAGTTTAATGTTTTTTTTCTTCTAAAAATTAAATTTGTCTCATTGTCATCTACAAGGATTGTTTATACAATGGGGCAGAAAAATGAACCGTACCTGATGAGAAAGCCTAAGTGATGTTCCAGGCCTGCAGATGGGGTGCCATGTCTGGGTTTTTTCATATTTTGATACTTGAATGGTTTCCTTATTGCTGACTTTGCTAAAAGCAAAAAAAAACCCAACCCCAAATTCAAACAAAAAACAACAAAAAAACAGAACAATATTCTAATGTGCCCAGTGCCTACTAATATTTCCCTTTTTCATTTCTTGTAGGATGTAAAAGATCCCCTGGCTGAAGTATCCCGTGTATTAAAATCTCCAGGGACACGCTTTTTTCCTGAGCCTTTCATTCTGGAAGAAAGACCAAAGGATGAAATTCCCAAAGACAGGAAAGTTAAGAGCCCTTTGGTGCCACCATCTCCAGTGTTATCCCAGCCAGTTGCATCACCAGAAGCCATTGTACCCACATCACTAGCAGAGTCTCAGCCAGCAGCACCAACCTTGGCTTCATCCCCAACATCTGCTCAAATGCCTATCTGTTCCCAGCCTTTGCCTTCTACTGAAACATCCATTCCATCCCCAGTGGAGCCTCCAGTATGTTTCCAACCTGTCCCAGCCTTAACGTCTACTCCTTTAGCCAAACTGGTCCTTAGGGGCCAGGATAGTGGGGTGGAAAAACTGGGGAGCCCTACTACAGCAGAAGAAGCTCTGAAACGGAGTAACCTTGTGGAAGAGTTCTGGATGAAGAGTGCTGAAATCCGGAGGAGCTTAGGGCTCACCCCAGTAGACAGAAACAAACGCTCAGAGACGAACTTTCCTGTATCTGCCCTTGAGACAACTCCTCTGAAGACTTTTAATAGTGAGAATGTTTCAGGGGATGAAAGGCTCCATCTTGTGAAACCCCAGCCGGCCCCAAGAAGACAGGGACTGTCCAAGTTAGAGAATGAGCAGATTTCTCTGCTCACTCCAAAATCTCCGTCAGAAAAAGAGCTGAAGAGTTCCAATGAAGTAAGGAGAGATGTATCCAGCAGTTCTGGACTTGGCCTTCAGGAGAGCTCATCTAACATGAGAACTATGGCTAGCCAGAGCTTCAACACTTCTGACTCTACCATGCTTACTCCTCCGTCAAGTCCGCCACCACCACCTCCTCAGGATGAAGAACCAGCCACTTTGCGTAGAAAGAGGTATCAAGCAGTCTGGCAGAATGAGGTTGAAGCCAGGTCACCTCCAACACCAGCATCGACACCTCCTGCTCCCCCATGTCGTGAGCCAACCTCTGCTGCCAAAGAGTCGACCCAGGCCAAAAAAGATGATGTGAGGAAGTCTTTTGCAGAGAGCGTGGATGAGATTCCATTTGCTGATGATGTAGAAGACACATATGATGACAGGACAGAGGACTCAAGCCTTCATGAGAAGTTCTTTACACCTCCTACCAGTAGGCCAAGGCCAGAGAAACCACTTCTTTTGCCCTTGGTCAAAGAAAATGGTGGTCCACCCTCAATGGAAGGAGGGGTTAACCAAAAGAAGAGAGCATTGCCTGAAATTTCTGCGGAGGCCAAGGAGCTTGCTGAAGAAAGAATGAGAGCCAGAGAGAAGTCTGTCAAGAGCCAAGCACTGCGTGATGCCATGGCTAAACAGTTGTGTAAGATGAGAGATATGGAGATGGCTGCAGCTGCTGCTGCTGGGGCCATGAGGGCACGAAAGGCATCTTCTATGCCCTTGAAGACCAAAGAGTTGTTTTATGACTCCCCAAAGCATCTGGCCTTGAAAATAGCAGAGGGATCCACACGAAAGCATGATGCTGCTAGTGAGAAGTTCTCCACTCCTGCTGCTGATACGGCTGGACCAGAAGGGTCTGTCACCTCTTCAGAAGGCTCCAGTGGGAAGAGTAAGAAAAGAACTTCTCTCTTCTCCCCTCGTAAGAACAAAAAGGAGAAGAAGTCTAAAAATGACAGCAGGCTTTCTGACAAATCTAGTGGTGGGACAGAGGAAGCAACAAAGCCTAGGTCATTATGGAAGTCTGTTTTCTCTGGGTATAAGAAAGACAAGAAGAAAAAGACTGATGACAAATCCTGCCCAAGTACCCCCTCAAGCAGTGCCACTGTGGATTCTGGCAAGCACAAAGCTTCTCCCTTGGTGACAGCTGCAGGTATAATTGATAAGTGTCTTTTCACTCTATACTTTTCCTATGGCTAGGTATGCTTGAAAGTAAATTTGGCTTTCCTTGTGATTCAGCTGCTGTGCTGAATGACACTGCTCCCCAGTGTCCCATGGGCAGATCAACCTAAGTGCTAGCAACTAGAATTGTTCATTGGCCTGTTGACAGAATGAGTTGATGTGCCACTGAAAAATAGAGATCCTTAAATAAAAGCTTCACTCTTGGTATGTACAAGACACATCTGATTTCTCTCCTTAGACTGATCTGAGGAATAAGCAGTGCTTGTTGGAATCGGTTGTTTGTGGTGTTTCATCTCTATTTTAAATCTGATCCTCATCTTTTCCTTGGGACATCTGTTCTCTTTCTTTCACCCTGGCTCCATGAATGCTGAAGACTGCAGAGATGCAGTTACTCCTGTGTTCTCAAGTGATTTGACAACTGTCTGCTGATCTGTGAAGTGGGGATTCTGTGGCCTCATGTAAACCTCACATGCCATCAGGTGCAGGTGGAGATGTTGAATAGCAACTGTGATAGAGTAAATAAGTTAGCCATAAATGTGATGGAAAGCGGACATGTTACATTTCTCTGACCAAAACAGTGCCGGCTGCTGTCATCTGAGTGCTGGATCTATCATCAGAGCATTGACACAGTGCAAAGGGAGAATCATGGCCATTATTTTTAACAGTGTTTGCAGAAAGTGATGCTCTCTTAGAATGAAGCTTCTAATAGCAATCGTTTTGCAGAGCAGTGCTTCTCTGCTCACTCTGTCATCACAGAGTGTTGTGAGCTGGAAGGGACCC